CCCCCCCCCATTGGGGGAGAATGCATTGTGCAGAGTCTTGTGATGTCATTTGCCTGCGATAGTAGCAGGAATGGATCAAGAGAGAGGTCGTATGATGTTGTATGAAGTAAGAGCTAGTCAAAGACAATCAAAGCGAGAAAATCAATGCAGTCAGAACACAGGGTGAAAAGGCATGTGTACATGTAACATCATGTTACATATGCCAGCTGCGCAAGCACATTCCAGGTGATACTGCATGCTTCCAAGGCCTGGACACACCTAAGTTACAATTGCTTATGGGTCCACAGCACATCACAACAAAACACAACAAGTCCACCAAAGCACTCCAGTTGAAAAGGTATGTTTAAATGTAACATGTGACAGCTGCACATAGCACAGATTAGGTGAAAATGCATGTTTCCAAGACGTCCACATGTCTAAGTTACATTTCTTTCTTGCATTCTGGTCCAACACTGCTGACACTGTGGCACAGCAGGTCTAGAATTAAACGCACTCCTCCCACAACATCAAAGCAGAAGAACTCCAACCAAAGCACACCCAGTGATAAAGGCATTTAAATGTAACATATGCCAGGTGCACACAGCACAGTCTGGGTGATAATGCAAGTTTCCCAAATGGGAGCACACCAAAGTTACATTTCTTTCTGGCATTCTGCAGAGGAACCAGCTGATGAGAAGAGTTTTGCGTAGTCGAAGAGCGCAGTCGAAGAAGAAAAGAACCCATACTCTTCAAGCAGCCTCACTGAGTCTTGCGTAGTGTTACCTTGAACCATCCTAGACCTGAAAAAATGTAACTTACATTTTTTACCTATTTAGTTACATTTTCCCTGGAATAATGTAACTTGCATAAGTTACATTTTTCATTAAAAGCCTAACAAATGTAAGTTACATTTTTCCAGGTATATGTAAAGGGCTAAATGTAAGTTACATTTTTTCAGGTCCCCCCCCTGCTAAGGGGTAGGGATGGTACGACAGTTTTTTGATGGTACGTGCTCATGGTACGACATTTTGTTTTTTGGGATGTTACGCCCCAATGGCACGACAGTTCTTGCATAAATCACAGTTAGTTTTAACAACCAACCGCTGCATCTGAGGAGTTACTTTATTCTTTTTCTGTATGTGCAACACCGTGGCTTCTTGCACGGGCTAGCAGCTGCTTCACAGCCAAAGCAAATGAATGAACGAACAAGCGCTGGGAAATCTAGGCCGACCGTTTATTGAGGGCTTCGTTGAACGACGCATCAGTGAACAGAAAGAAAAAACTAGTTTCGCTGCATCTGTGGCACTATATGTGCTCACTACCGACCACCCGCGCCAGCCGTACGTACCAACATCCTGTACCGTACCCTTAAACTGTACCCATGTATCGTACCCATCGTCGCACCATGATTTTGCTTGGACTTGGGCATTTCGCAACCATCTTGAATGTTGTTAATACGCGAGTGGGAGGGGATAAACCCCTTGTGACCCTTGTGTCGTACCTTCACTGGCTACGCCATCAAGGGGGCGTGCCGGTGCCCATGGGGCGAGATGGGTGGCAGAGACCAGGCACACCACCTCCTTCCGTTTCTGTTCATGGACCTCCTTTGTTTTTTGGTTTCGTGGAAAAACCCTCACAGACACTCACAAAAGGTTGGAAAGCAACTGTGACCGATCACATGTGGTTCTTCCTGAAGACCGGCGTTCGATCTTAACCTCAAGCCGCAACGCGTTTTTCAGGTTCAAAAAGTGTGGCCATGTTGGTGCCAGTGCTTTGTGGTTTTAGTTTTGATGCGAAAAGGCTACCGTTTGTCTCCATAGTCTGGGGTGGGCATTTCGGGCGTTTTGTGGTAGGGTGACCCCCGGCTCGTTTACGACCCAGGCCAGAAGTGGCGGGGATACACGCTGCAGCTGCAGCCGCTGTCCCCACCTCAACTCAAACGTGCAGTGGACGGATAGGATGCCACATGTTTTTTGCAGGTCGAAAAGCCTACGCGTGTAGGCAAAGGGACGTCCAAGACGGAAGGTATCGGCCGATCTTTTTCTTCGGCCTTGCCATGGTATCCTCGACTTGGCTTTGGGGTTTTGGGGTTTGAAGGAGTTTTGACCAGATTTTGTGCAATGTTGGGCCAGGCGGGCCCCGCCAGACCTGAAAAACAGCATCCAGAAAGCGCAGCTTGAGGCGCAAACTCGCTCGTTTGCGGAAGGGTGAGCATTTTTTATATGTTTTTGATTCAGGCTGAACGAAAAAGGAGTGTAGTGGTCGGCTCAGTGCCAGGAAGGTGCATGTGCCTTCAAAAGTGTGAAGCATGGCTTGAGGTGAATGGCAGAAGTGCAGTGATTCCCTTGGATGCTGTTGGTGTCACGTTTGTGTTGTGCCATGACCTTTTCTTTGTGGTGAGAATACGCCGAGGATTTGGAGAGTCGAATTCGGTATGCCCAAATGACCTGCTCTGTGGAGGTGCCACGGCTTGGAACTGCATTTCTGTGTGCACGATCTTGTGCAAGAAACTCTCCTTGAGCACAGAGCCTTTGCATTTTGAAGTCGGCAAATTCAATTCAAAAGTAGCCACTGAAATCGGATTCCTTCCTTTTTCGGATCCCTGGTGAGGCCATGGCAGCGAACCGGCTCGCACCTCAAAAGGATGGGCCAGCTGTTTGTTGGAGAGGAAATGGGGAGTTGGATGCTGCTGAGGCATGGAAGTGCAGACTTTGATTTTGATGCCCACCGGCCCATTTCCAAGATGACCTCCATCCACAGTAGGATGTCAAAGCGACAATGTTTCAGGCGGAGTGGTCCGTGGCTGCCGTCTGCCCAGGATTCGGGGCTGCCGTGCCAATCAATTAATTGATATTTCTGCACATCGGCCATATTCCTTTCCGAATTCGTTGTATGGCTGCCGCTGTGAGGAGCTCATGGGCAGCTGGGTGGACATGCAAGGCCATAAGACGAGAGCATGATGCTGTGAAACCTGTTGCCATGGCAGCACCTGAAGTTCTGGTTATCATTATCCACTTGCTTATCATCAGTTAGTAACGCTGTGGAAATCAACTAGATCCTCCCTAAACATGCTTTGGACATTTTTGGACTTTGGACAGCCTGCTCCACACACACTTAGAACGTTGCTCGCAAGAGCTGGATCAGTAAACGAAGTTCCCCTTTAGTGCAGGTAGACCGTGACTCAAAAATGCAGAACCGAAAGGCGATGGAGTCCGGAAATTTGGAGATGTTTCAACATTGTTTTCATCGCATTAGCCCTTTAAGGAGAAAATGCAGGTACGTGAGTCAGGCGTCCCTGACTCATATCACAGGAAACGTGCAGCGTCTTCGTTGCACGAATCCCCAGCGACCCCCTGCATCACCGTTACATTATGTTCGAAGGCAGAGGTGTGGACACACACACACAGAGCCGTTTTCGGCGCTCCAAAGAGTTACTAGCCACCTAACAAGCCTTAGAAAGAAAGACGAAGAAAAGACAGAAAGAGCAAGCGAAGAGGGCAAGAGAGAAAGGTAGGAGTAGTTACGAGGCCCACTAGTTAAGAAGCCTTCTAGTTACTGACTACTTAGCCGAATGAATTAGGTCCACTAGTTAGCAAGCAGACTTTAGTCTTAGACCGCCCGGGTAGGAACGACTAGCACAGGAGAAGCAGAAGGAAAGGCACCAGCGCACAAGTGTGTTGAGTGCGATTTCCTTCTGTTACCCTACTTGGAGGGTGAGATAGCAACTGCGAATTAGGTGCAAGGGTGGGTTGGGGTGGCTCAGATGCACTGCCGTAACCGGGGCTCCCTTGTCCGAAAGGCACCTAGAACCTAAAGAAAGGCCTCAAGACAACGAAAAGCAACAGCAGGAAAGAAAAGCCAAACGGACCAAAAGAGAAAAACCCTTCACGTGTTTCACTCTCCTCACAAGGCCTATGACTACGTAGCAGCATGACATGTGCATGTGACGACCTAGCAGCATGTGAGGATTCGTTCTGGAATTCAGTCACAGTAAGCCCTGCGGCATTCGATCAGCAGTCTCGTGCAAAACCGTAAGCCAGTGAGAATCTGAGAGAAGTTCACGAGAGAAAGACGAAACGATCAGTGGGGGTCCCCCAAGTCTGGGTCTATGCACATGCCGCGCGGATCACAACACAGCCCTCAGTGGGACTCTGTGGCGTTACACACTTAGAACGTTGCTCGCAAGAGCTGGATCAGTAAACGAAGTTCCCCTTTAGTGCAGGTAGACCGTGACTCAAAAATGCAGAGCCGAAAGGCGATGGAGTCCGGAAATTTGGAGATGTTTCAACATTGTTTTCATCGCATTAGCCCTTTAAGGAGAAAAATGCAGATACGTGAGTCAGGCGTCCCTGACTCATATCACAGGAAACGTGCAGCGTCTTCGTGGGTCGCTGACTACACGAATCCCCAGCGACCCCCTGCATCACCTTTACATTCCGTTCGAAACGAAAGGTGCGTTGCAGAACTCCTTGGGCACAGTGGACACACACACACACACACCGGATTGACCGGCTGCACCCTGTGCTGCGAATTGAGGGTTCCGACAAGAGAACGAAGGGAAACGAAATAAAATTCGAAAATTGTCAAAATCAATGTGACTTGGGTTCTTGAGTGGCAGGCAATTCGGTGATGGTATATTCTGTCGACGCGTACGAGATGAGACTTGCGGCAGCAGTGTTTGAGCCACGGCGAGTTTGAGACATTTTGTCCATTTGTCACATGAAACTCGTGAAAACTGCGTGTCCAAGTCTGTTTCAGCAAGATGTGGGAAGGAGGTTCAGGGACATATTATACATCATCATGACTAACGTATCCCTGATTTTCACCTGCCCGGTTTGCGGCTTCAACTTCCCTCCTGCTGCTCCTGTATGACCGCTTCGTTTCCTTATATGCTCAGCTCATCTCACTTCATCCCTTTCCAATATCAACCCATTACGCACGATCTCACCTTCCATGTTGTTTATTTCGTTTGGTCAGTTGATCTGATGTTTTTTTCCCATCAACTCAGTATATGATTGTATTGAAACTCAACCTGTCACCTCTTTTTTGCATCACGCCTCATCTCTGATAGTTGCAACCTTTTGGTCTCAAATTGATCTCATCATCTCATCTCCCCTCCAACCTTCTCTCGCATCAAGCACGGCAGATTTTGGTGTAATATAGCTGGCTTGCCCGTCCTTTCTTCGCACTGCGGCCATTGGGATGGTCGGAGCACAAAGGTCAAGACCCGCGGCACGAGACTTGCAGCTGGGGCTGCCTTCGACTTAGCCCTTCGAGCTTGGCAAACTTTCGGCAGTTTTCTGCCACATGGACAGCCTGTCTTAGCCTTTGTATGTGCAAGGCGGCCAACTCCTGACGGCACTGGTGTGAGCTTGAGTTATATATATGGGTTGCAGGGCTTCAGCCGCATGCGCACACATGCGCAATGAAATGGTCTTCTGGGCCTTGTGGTGGTTTCAGGATGGATTTGTGGGAATGCCACCTTGGACTCGTCTGCCAGCTCTTTGGATGGGGTCTTAGTTGGGTTGCACCAGGTGTTTTGAAGGGCTTGTGCATGAACACATTAGAATCTTGAGCCTGGTGAGGAAGAGTTGCATTGGCTTGGGCCCCGGGGCCGATACTCTGCTGCCCCCTCAGGACGCATTGGCATGTTCTTGGTTTCCCTTCAGAAATTGACGTTTGTTAACTTCTGAAAGTGCCATCAACTCAAATTGAGGTCTGGGTTCGGGGCCGGATGTGATCGTAACACAGTGTTTTCACAGAGGCTCTGGCCGATAGACTGTACTTGTTTTGTCTTTTGACTTATTTGATTCAGTTGCCACAATGTTGTCCAACCTGACAAGCACGGCAACCGATTTGACTATCGCGGTGTCTAAAAGATGCCACAGTACAGCTGAAGGTTTGTATTTTAGCATTTCGACTGCGTCCCGAATTGCCTGGAGGGCTTTCATTGGCTTCTCGCACACACACGGAGAGCTCCTCGCTGTTGAAGCGCAACAAGTTGCACTTCAATTGTCAAATGATGTAAAGCAAGGTTGTACTCAGGCTACACTGAAGCTGTGGGGCTCGGGGAATGCGCATGCTCGGCCTTTTGCAGCCTTTTTGCTGGAGAAGGTCGTGGCAAACACACGCCACAGTGAGAGGGTGATGAACACAATATTGCCTGGCATGCAATGTCTCGGCAGTGCAATTGATAGTCTGGACGCTGGTGCTTCGGATGTAACCAACAAGATATACAATTTGCAGGTGAAATTAACAAATGTTTCCGGAAGAAAAGCATATCCATCGTGCTGTATCATGTTATCAAGATTCTTAATAGATCCCGATGCAATCCTTGCTTTATGCCGCTACGAGGGGCACTTGTGACCGGCAGTGCCAGGGATGTGGGCTGTAGTTCGGCAGGCTAAGGCCCACTTCCCGCCTTTGACCCTGCTGCATGAGACTGCATGCCGGACGTGCTGTGAACCTGTGTGCCGGACTGAGTTGTCACAGGAACATCTGCCGGAAGTAGAGGTTTCGCAAGCGTTTTGTTTTCGGTATATAACTATATAATACCATTGCTAACACCAGTGTAAAATACTAACGCCAGTTGTAAATATAGCTTCACTTTATTGTAAACTCATGTTACCTCATTTTACCATTGCTTAGGTTTGAAAGTCAGAGACGCTCACTGGTGAGTTCATGGCGGCCAATCGCTGAAGCTTTGCACTCTGCGAGACTTGTGTCGACGGCGAGTTTCCTGCCACCACCAAAGTCCAGATGGTCGCCATCTAACGAGCTGCCAGCAAAGTTGGGGTTTGTACAGTCGCAACGCAGGACGTCCAGAAAGAAGAATCTAAAAGCAGTGCACCAAAGTCAAAAAGCAACTTCGAACCAGACTTCAAGTCCTCCACGAGCTGCTCGGCAAGCGCTGCGACCGGTGCCTTGTCTCAGAACACGTGGGTTTAGAATGTGTGGTGGAGTTGTCATGAAACAGGTTCTGCAAGGTATGGCCGGCATTCTTGAAGCTTGCCTTGATGAGGTTAAAGCCGGATCTCCTCCTGTGAAGAAAGTGCGGCGCAATCAAAAGAAGCACCGCCACTCAACCGATCTGGAGGATCTCGGCGACGCCCCCAATTCCCTGCCGCATTTTGATAGACAGGCCGGCCACTACGTCTTGCACATTGTGCACACCGGCGTCGATCCTTCACCCTTGACAATGAAAGGTAGGGCCTCCTTAAAGGGGCCTCACAGTCCTTGTTTACACAATTGTTTGCAACTTTTAGTGTGTGTTTTTCTAAACCAAGTGCAGGTGAAGCGACTCCAACAGAGACCTATTGCAGCATTGCCTCGGACTCCACAATTCTTTGTTCGTTTCGGTCCTCCTATGACCGCAGAGGACCTCACTCATGATGCTCCATCCGTGTTTGTGGAATCTCGCAAGTTGCTCGATGATGTTCTGGAGAGGCGAGAGAAACTGCAGTCAGCACCTGACTTCGTTGCTCCTGATACGCCCTTCTGGAGAGTGCCGGCCAAATTGCGGAAGAAAAAAACACCAAAATGGCAAGCAAAAGCGGAAGGTGAAGAAGAAACCTCCAAAGCGGAGAATCCATCCGAAGCTGCTGAGCAACTCAAGGGCATCGTGAATCTTGGAAGGCCACCAGGCGGCCGCCGAGCTGAACCTTTGTCTCCTGCAAAGGCCAGCATCAAGCTGCTAGACGAAGGTGAATCCATGCCACATGACTCAGAAGAAACGGTGCAGCAGCTTGGCTTCATTTACACACACACACATATATATATATATGCACATACACATAATTCTATAAATTCAAGAAGCCACCTGCCACCTGTTGTATGTAGAATGTCGAGTTCCAGACATTGTTCTTGCTGCATGTTTGTGAATTGACTTGCGAGTTTAGTAGTGACAGTGCCAAGGTCAGAGGCAGAACAGGATTCAGCAAGCAGCTTTTCCCATGCTAGTCGCCCACTACGACCTGAGCAAAGCTTGATTGCAAGTCTCAGGCAGAAGGCAGCTGACTTTGCAAGAACGGGGGCAAATCCAGATTTGGTTGAGAGCATGGCAGAAGCTTTGAGGCATCATCCAGGAACAGAGCGAGCCGCGAGGATCCGGGAGATGCGAAGTTGTGTCATGGATTTTGAGACACTCATTCAGGAGGGAAAAGCGTCCGTCTCCAATTGTAATGAGTTGATTCGGGCACAAGCGCTACAGGGTCGAATGGAAGAGGCTGTGCAAACACATGACTCCATGAAGCTTCATGGGTATGAGCCAGACTCAGAGACCTTTGTGTCGCTTCTTTTGGGAGCTGCTCAACATGGTGATGCAGAGCTTGCTCGAAGGTTTTTCTTGAAAATGAGGGAGCAGCTTGTAAGTGCAACTCCTAAGGTCTATGCTGCACTTATCCACGCACATGTGCGGGCGGGTGACACTGCATCAGGATACTCACTTTTAAGGAAGATGGAGGATGAGCGGGTACAGCCAGATGTGGTTGTTCACACAATCCTGATCAATGGGCTTGTCCACGAAGGACGATTGGAGACAGCGTGGGAAGAGTTTCACTCAATCCGAACCTGGAAGCTGATACAGCCTGATGAAGTTCTCTTTACTGTGATGATAAAGGCTTGTGCGATGGCATCTGAAGCAGAACGTGCCCTGAATTTGCTGGACGACTTGCGAATAAGTGGTTTGTATCCGACTGACATTACCTATGGAGAGCTGATCCGTGCAATGTCAAGCAGCCAAGATCATGCAAAGAAGGCCTTCGACTTTTACAGGCAGATGCAGGCTGAGGACCTACCAATAAGCAGCTTTGTTTTTGAGCATTTACTGAGAGCTTGCGCACAGCTTGGAGACCCGAAGCGTGCAAAAACAACTATACATGAAATGCGCGAGTACGGCCTTGTGCTAAGTCCTGTGATGTACTGCCATTTGGTCAGCTTGTTTGCATCAGCCATGCGACGCCCGCATACTTCGGAGAACGAGAAGCTACAAAATCTTCGCTATGCTTGGAACGTTGTTGCAGAAGCTCGTCGTGCCTGTGAAAGTCGCATCAACTGGACGAGCATGCTGAATGAAGTCCTTAGGGTATATGTGGCTGGTGGATTTGCAGAGTTTGCAGTTGAGATGCTTCCTCAGTATGCTGAGTTTGGTGTGAATCCTGATGCAGACACCTGGGCGCACCTACTTCGCATGTTTGGCGATGATCTAAAGGACGTTGGCCGCTTCTTCCTTCTGTGGGACACCGTTCCGCAGGACATCAAACTTTCAGATGACCTTTATCACCTGGCCTTGGAAATGGCTTTGCAGTCTCGATCCTCCCAGCAAACCTGTGCAGTTCTTGAGCAGATGTATTCCGTGTCAGTCTTTCCAACCCCTCAACTTGCAGAGCGGTTAGCGAAAGCGGGACGCCATGTCATCCAGATCCTTGGAGCAACTGGAGAGATGAAAACAAGAAAAGTACAGACTATGCAAAGAAACCTACTAGCGATGGCCTCCAACCTAAGAGCGGTGGCCTCCATGCTATCTACAGTAACCTTATGGCACCACAATGCCTCAACTAGCTTTCTGCCCTATGTGAATGTGCAGTTTTCTTTTTTCTTCCGAGGATTCATCAACAGATCGGTAAGACGTTCTGATGCATTCATTGAACTTTTGAGATTTTCTGACTTGGGTTCCCCACGATTGTCCTCCTCTGCCTTTCTCACCTTCTCCGCCTTCATGAGGTTCATTTCCTTGAACCGTGATTTGAAGATTGCGGCAGCAAAGCGAGAGACGGTCTTCGCCTCAGCTGTAACGAAGGATTGAGACAAAACGCATGGTCCACATCTCGACCGTGTCTTGACGACTGATGCAGATGCCCACAGGCCCTGCTGCAGACGCACATGGATGAGCGCGAGGCTTACTTGGCTGCAGACGGCCTGACTGTGAGAAGCCCCACGCCGGAACAGGATGCGTTTGAGCCGACTGCTCTGGCTTGTGATTGGCCCCAGAAACATGACACAGCAGCTTCACAGCCAACCCCACACCATGATGCCACTGAAAATGCTGCAGGAGTATCGAGATCGATATTTTGATCAGACTCTTGGCTACAACTTGCTAAATTTGTGTTCTCCAGGCCACGCTGCAGCCCATAAGATGACAGGCTTGTCTAAAATGACCCGAATCTCCACAGTCTAAAAGTCACTAGGCACAACAAAGCTCAAAGACGAAAATCCAGCGGGGATGTTTCATTCCGTCGTTGGGTGCTTCGACGACTTGATGACTCTGCGACATCCGGTCCAGAAGCCGGGAAAGCAACAACCCACCGGCTATCAAAGTTTTGAAGGCTCTACGGGCCACCTTATGCGCTGCAATACTGAGACTGTAAAACATGTAAGTTCAGAATCAGTATGCAGGAAAGGGTGCAATTGTGCGGCCAAGGCTTCACAAGCAGGGAGTGTTCAAGCGTCCCTGGCTTCCATTTGGTGAATATTTGGCCTCCAAGCAGAAGGGTGGCGAGGCATATGCAAAGCATCCTGGCCGCAGGAGTTGAAGATCTGATGTGAAAATGTTTTCCTTGCTTGGCCATAGGTTTTTACATTCTTCCATCAGGCGGCACGACAAGCCACGGCCAAATCTTCTCTCAGCCAATGGGCCGTCATGACGGCAGCTGGAAAGTCGACAAAAAAAGGCAATGCATGACGCGTTGAAGCCGATTCTTTGTCGATGCCAATGAGAAGTAATCAGAGCATTTTTCTCCGTGACATTTGTGGAACTTGCTGTGGCACACTTTGAGGAAATGTGAATACTGCCAAGAGGCACTAGAGCGATCCTTGTTGGTCCACACGGCTCAAGCTGGCATGTAGTGAAAGTAGTGACGTAGTGACGACGTGTTGTTGCTTGACCCCTGCCTCCTTCGTTTGGACGGCCTGAGCCCGGAAGGAATGAAGGCGACAGGGCTCAGAACAACCTGTCGAAGTTCGGTTGGTTCGAACATGTTCCAACAGACATGTCCGCGTGATTTTGATATGCAAAACTGAGGCATTACGCAGCATGTGGCGAGGCAAGAACGTGAGAGCAGCTTGCTAAAGAATCACGATCAATCTATATAGTCTAGTGAGTTTTTCCTTGTTGCACTGACTATCCCCACAGGCCCAGTCTTTGCAGTGATTCTGTTCAGCGTGGCATCGCATGGGGAGACGGAGAACACCACGACGACAGACATAACGACAACTGCGGCTGATAATCCGAATTTGACGACGACGACGACGGTTACAATATTGGAATTTGTAACTGGCGTTCCTCGCTTTCATTACGTGTTCCGTATTTCCTTGTCCGTATCTTGATGGAACTGTCCATGTTCTGGTGCCCGCTCAGGAAATGCAAGCCACCGTGAGCAGTTGCGTGACCTTGCAAACGGACACAGGCCGTGGTGCCATCAAGACAGGTATCGCCACCCTTGCGCAGGCAAGTCCTTTTGCACATTGAGGGTTTGGATAGCAGCCACGTAATGATCCCCTTTCCAATTTTGTTGTGAAGTTGGACCCTGTCACGGGGAGTGTTGCGTACGCAGTTTCTACAGTATGTATGTCTTGCTGTTCCGGCAGGTGACAGAGGCGCAAGTTAGTTGCGAGTCTGCAATTATCAAGACCTTTTTTCAACGTTTCCAGAATGTTCTGAGCATCATCCTTACCCTTTATGACTTGAGTGTTTTACTCTTTCAGAAAGTGATCTCTAAGGTACTGTGGCCACGAGCTTACTCAAAAAACAGTTTGTTTCCATAGCGCTATGATGGGCTTTGCGCTGTGCACCTATCTCAACGCTTGGGGTCAGTTGCAAAAAAAGAGGAAAGCGGCAGTGTTTTGCAAGAATTCGTTGAACTTTGCTGAGGATGTGACTTGTCCAAATCGCCGCCTCTCCTTCTTGCCTAGGCTCCTGTCAGTCCCTTGCTCGCATGGATTTTCGCATGCTTTCATCATGCGCGTCCTCCTGCATGCAAAGGGGACACTGAGTCCATTTTATCTATTTTAGGTGTGCGGGAGAGTGCGACATACACTAGTCAGCTGCAGCTCTGGTGTGTTTGAGGCAACCGCGCAGATTGGTTTTGGAATTCAAGTCTTGGGTGGCGATGGTGCGTCCATTCAGGACTGGGAGGGTTGTGCTGCGATCCAAAGCTGTTTTCATAAAGACACCCGTTTATGACTCGTGTTGTGAACTGCACAGACGATGGTGATGAGAGAAGCATACATGCAGCCGCATGCGGGTGTCGTTGTTTAGTGGTTTATGATTATGTGCATAAGTTGCCGCATGTTCCAGATTTGAAAGCGTTTGGTATGATATTTGAGATTCTGCTGCTGCTTATCTAAAACCTTCATGGAGTCCACCGAGGCGCGCATGGAGTCGACTGACAACGCAAGCCAGCAGCTTCAGGATGCGATCCAAACAGCCGGATTGGACGTAAACATCACTGCTTGCAACTGAGATCTTCACAATTTTGCTGTATTCTTGAGACATTGTCATGCTCAAGTTCAACCATTGATCGTTGAGAAGGTTTTCCTGATTCAAGGTTGATTCAGCGGTGGCAAGTCTCGTTCAATCATTGACTACACCGACAACTACTGCAATGTCAACCGCTACGACGACAGTGGCAGGCAGGGAAGCTTGTGGAGCTTCAAGCACCTTGCCTTTGCTAGAGCCTGCCAGGAACAACAAGCTCCTCAGAATTTCCTGTGGAACTACTTATAGTCATAATCCTTTTGTGTGTCGCGCCTTGGCTGTTGAGACTGCTGCATGTGTGCGACATACACGGCACGTGTATAGTGCCCTAAATGCTCATGCTGATGCTCCAACAGCCGAGGTCCTTATTTGTTGCGTTTTGCCAGTGGGTGGTATCATGTGGCGGAAGCAGGTCCGGCACAGGATTTGAATCTACTGCGTGCTTTGTATCGGAGTGAGGCCTGCTTCTCAAGTAGGGAACAGGCCTATGAGAGTTATATATATATATGTATATATCATACACACACCTGTTTTGCCACTAGCTGCAAGTGAACCACTTTGGGTCAGGTGCAGGAACAGCGAGTCATGGCTGTGCGCAAGCTGGATGATGAGGTAATTCAGTTTCTTGGCCAGACCTTCTACAAGCTCCAACTTGTTGGACGGGGCAGAAAGACTGCATCATTTAAGGTTGGAGACCTTATTCGATGAGCTGTCCACACAGGTGGGACAGCACATGAGAAATGGCATCAGCTTTGGCAGATTGCCTTTTGCCAGGTAGAAGTTTTCAACGACAAGTGCCAGAAAGAGTTGGATGGCCGGTATCAGCGGGAATTCCGTGATCGAGTGGGTGATCAGCAGCAAGGCTTTAAGCAGAAATGGGAGGCGCTCGTCGAAGAGAAAAAGCGATTCCTGAAGGAGTACGAGTTCGAGATGTTGCGGCGTCAGCCTGCAGAGGTGTCCAGGCAACCGTCAACGGTTGCACAACCGCCACCTACTTTGCAAGAGAAGATCTGGCCGCCAATGCCCGTGACAGATCCGAATGTGATTCAGGGGCAGCATAAGCAGCTCAATCAGCTGGACAAGACCATGAAGGAGAGCATCAGCTGTCCCAGTCCCAAGTCGGAGACGAACAGACATACAAAAATGAAGCTGTTTGCATTCTTTTTGGTGACCCCCTGTTCAAATTAAATGCGCTCTACAGCATTTACGGGGCCAGGCGTGGGGATTTTACATAAAGGCACATAGGACCTGCCGCATTCTTGAGTCATGTCTGTCAGGAGACCTGCGACATATTTGGTCAGCAAGTGCGCCTAGCCTTTCCCAACGGCCTCCCTGAGATTCCAAGTCCAGGCGACGGCACAGAGAGAGAGAGAGCGAGAGAGAGAGAGAGAGAGAGGGAGAGGGAGAGGGAGAGGGTTTCTT